TCCAATCAGTTGATCCGTGAAAAATAATTTAAAAAACTGGAGTTCAGATTGAAGATTTGAGGGCCCAATTTGTGATCCGGGATTACTCACACTGAAGGTAAGCACAGGAAAGTCCGGGAGATTGTTCGTGTACAAACTCCAGGACGATGCTTGTGGCTGAGCGGCTCCGCGGTTGCTGTCTAGAGCAGTCGTTTCATCTACATCACTACTTTCGCTCAAGTCAGCAGAGGACGTCTCTTCATCATCTGACGGAGGGATATAGTTGTCCTCTTCACTGAAATTGTCGTCACTTTCAACTATATCACGCAAAGAGTTACCATAAAACGAGCATGGCTGGAACGTGGCCATCCCTCGTGGCAGCGAAGTTGAAATTTGCGCTCTCCTCCGTTGTTTAGACTGTTTAGGATTAGTTCTGCCCTCTATGAGAAAAAAACTCAAACCCTTTCAAAAGTGAAGTGTATAAACGTCTCAAGAGATGGCGCCACCAATCCAGCAAAAAAAAAAAAAAAAGAGCGAAGGAGCATGTTTAAAAGGGCGCAAGAATGCGCCCTTTTAAACACCGGACCAGAAGCGCGTTTCTTCGACGTCTGGCGTGGCCCGACACGTGACCGCAAAGGGTTAAAAAAAAAAACTTGTTTGGCTAGATTCGGCACAATATGTGCGCTTGGGAGCAGGATGACGTAGCAAAAGTGGATTGGCGCACAATGGTGCAACTGGCGCAGCGCTTCCACCCCTGCATGTTGATAATACACTGCATTTTTTTTAGACAACAAATATTCGAGACAAAAATCAAAATAAAACACAGAACAAAAAATTACTCTCTTGGAATAACGCTATTTCCCATGGCGGACGTCAGGGCACGGGTATAAGGAAACAATGAGTGGCTTAATTACCTGAATTATGGTAATGAACTCATCAGCCATTTTTTAGCTGGCATATTTTAATAGACCCTTTCCGAAATTCAGCGCCATCTGGTGGCTGAAATGGCGGTTTAACTTTTGCCATACGAATGGCGGCAGTGAACCCGTAGCCTGCAGTATTTTATCGGGCACCGTCACTTTTGCATGTCAACGGCAGACGAGAATAAACTTTTCGCTATACAGGTTTTTCTGAATCATCTCATCCAGTCTCGATTCCCACAACGATGCAACCAGTCAGAACGAAGCGCCAACCCAGACAGACGCCTTGATAAAGTTCTAAGTCAAGGGGTTTCGAAGTCGATTCTGTGCCACAAACAGGTTCACTGGGCTCGAATTAGAGAAATGAACACTTACGCAGCGCTTGCATTCAATTCCGGTTTCGCAACGTGCTAACGTCTAGAATGTATAGGCCTCGAATCCTCAGCTTAGGAGTATCTTCAACCATGTTCCTTCATCAGTAAATAGAAAGCCGCCATTGGTATGGCACATATGCCATTTTTCCGATAATGATGATAGTGATCAAAGTGGCCAGACTGAATTTCGGGAAGGGTCTATTGGAGATTTGTAGCCAGTCATCAATCTAGGCTAGATGAATTGCTGGACATTAGAAAAAATATATATACAATATATACAAGTAGTCACATAGTGAATTTCGCTAATTTGCCACGTCACATGAAAACTTTTTTTTCCTAAAAATCAAACTCATTTTCACTATATTAACGATGGGCTACAAATCTTTAATTGAAATATGCCAGCTAAAAGGTACCGTGTTTACTCGCATAATGACCGCACCCCCACAACAGGTACCATTATTTGGACTTTCTTTTTCCCCCTCGCGTAATGAACGCAACTCCAATTTTGGCTCCGCGAGTCTTGAATTGCATCCAACTTAGCAAGCCACCAAGCCAATTTTCTTTTGCCGCCAAGCAGTCAGGCCAAGTCAAGCCAAGCCAAGCCGCTCTCGTAATGGCTGCAAGTGCGTGGTTGTGGAAGTAATCAACCGTGAAACCTAGTGGTGCGCACACTTGACGAAGCTTGGGTCAAAGAGTTGCCCAGCCCCGGACATTCTTCGCCTATCGGATTCATCGATGTCAACAAACACGCCGTCGTCTGTGGTCCGCTTTCGGACAGTGAAATCGTGAAAGTCACGGTTAGGTCTAAGAACAATCGCGTCGCTCTACGAGCTGAGCGAGCTCCGTAGGGCGCTTTTCCTTCGACAAAAGGCACGCCGAAAGCGCTTTAAAAAGGTTTGCAATTTATAAAGCAGGGTTACTGTGGCGCGCCCCCCACCAGCCGTGGGTGCACCTCCACCAGTAGAGACATGCCACAGTACCTTGCCGTGTCATGTTGGCACCTAACATGACATTTGCACAAAGTTTGTAAATGCAAGAATTTTACCCCGCGTAATGAACGCACCCTCCAAATATGTGTCGATTTTTCGGGAGAAAAAAAGTGTGTTCATTATGAGATTCATTACCACATTTTAGGTGCTAAACCCACTCATTGTTTCCGCATGCTTGTGCCCCAATGTCTGCCACAGTCAATAACATTATTCTGCAGAAATTTTTTCCTTAATTCAAGCATTCTTTTGTTTGGAATATTTGCCGTGCCAGAAAAAGAAGCCTACGGCGTGGGCTTCTGTCCCGTCCTTTCTTTCCCGAAGCCACAAGTGACGGCGCTTATCATAATTAACTCATTCTAACAGACCTTAATAGTAACAAAGATTTTGGTCTCTTGCAAAAAGAGTATGCACAACCACAGATACTCTTAGTACAAACTGACATGGTGCTCTAACCAGTGAAACTGATGAAATGTAAAGGAATATTAGAAAATAACAGGTGTATTGAAACTTCTGAACTTTGAAAGGTAGTGATTCCTTATTGAGCTGTACTGATAATTGTCATGACTGCGCGCTTTGGGTCATACGAGGCTTGCAAGGCACAACGACAGCTGTTCACAAAATGGATGCCACCGCTACCAAACCAAAGCCGCAGAATGTCCGAAATAACAACTGCTGTTGAAGAGTCTGCTACAATGGAATGGTAGAGTACTTACAAACTACTACCTACCGTATTTATTTGGATCTAGGCCGATAGTTTTTCTTAAATACCGATACATCGAACTCTAGGGTCGGCTTAGATTCGAGGATTTTGAAACACGCGCCAATTTCCAAGTAAAATTGAAGAAAGTGGCGCGCAGCTAGCACCACCTAGAAAAGAAAGTATTGTAGCCATTACTAGCCGAGCCAGTAGCCACTTAAGTACACGGGCGGTGCCACCATTTTGACCTGCATCGATAGTGGCCTGCGTGCGGCGTGGCGTTTTCTTTTTATCAACTGCACAATGGCACCAAACAGGCGGCGCCATTATAGTTCCGCTTCTAAAAGAAAATTTGTTTTAGCCGCGGAGTTCTCGTCGAACGTTCAAGCCGGGCGAGACTTCAGCGTGGATGAAAAAGATGTCCGCCGTTGGAGGAGGCAACAGGAAAGGATATTTGCGTGCACCACAACGAGGATGGCGGGCTGGGTAGCTGCGGCGTGGGACGACATCCGTGGAACTTTGACCGTGCGCTCCTTCAAAAAGTACAGCATATCAAATGCGTTTGATGGTACTGAGGATAGCACACTGTTTGATGATGACAGTGATAAACAAGTCAGCGACGAGGCTAGCAGCGATGATGACTCAGAATGAGCATGGCATCTTCATGTTCAATAAATATTTTCTTTTTGTGAACGCTGTCCTCGCCTCTTTGTTTGGCTTACATTCGAGGTAAGTTTTTTGTTTCTCTCTGGCTTCGGACTTTTTGGTGCCGGCTTAGAATCGGGGCCGGCCTAGATTCGAATAAATACGGTAACATAGTCTATTATATCCGAATGTATGTCGTAACAAAATCTGTAATAAGCAAAGTTGACTCAACGGCACAGATACAGAGGCCAACCAAATTTCACAAATCGGTACGTTAGAAATAGGGTTTTGTGTTTCCGGATACATCCGAAAAACACCCGCCAGTAATATTTTCGTTATTTCATACTCGATTAACTCCAAATTCCAATGCTCCAATGCCAAACAAAAGAAAGACTATTTTTTAATTAAGTTTGGTTAGTAATTCTCAGGGAAAATGAAAATGTCGCCACAGTTTGAAATATCTCGAGTCATTGACAAAAAGGGGTCTTGCCGTTTTATCTGCTGAAGGTTCATTCACGACAGCGGGTCATTGTACTTTTCGGTCGCGACAAAAGCCACTGTTCCGGTTTCTAGTTTAATCCAGATTATTCCCGATTCTTAGAGGAAGGAGGGGCTGTGTGTTTGTACCAGTGAAGGCCATGCACCATAGAGATTTTATAGAAAGGGGCAGGGGCAGTTGAAGCTTCTATATGAGACCATTTACCACTCCACCCGCACAGTAGGGTGATGGAATGGATGGATGGAATGAAAATGAGTTTCCCAGCGACCACATCTTGGAGTTTAGGGATTATAAGGTATTGACGTCCATCGAAGCAACGCTTGTCTGCCAGTCGTCGGGCATCGGCGTCGCGTACGTGAGCCGTGGGGTATGTGAATAAAAGCGTTCAGCACAAAAGAGACATCTGACCATTTTGTTCCAGATACTTTTGTTTCTTTTTTGTTCCGGAGTGCGCGAAAGCACGTCTCTTGGGACAAGCCCTTGGCATTTACAGTGCTACAACATTTTGTTAATGTTTTTGTTTTTTTGTTTTTTTTCTAGAGATTTTTTATTACAAAACCCCCAAGTTTAAGGCGGGTTGTTAACGGCGTGGTGCAGTTGCATGCCAACGTCTCCGCTTTGCACGCGGCAAACCCGGGATTGATTTCTGCCGGCGGTGGGCAATCTTTTTCGAGAAATTGGCAACGTTGACGACGAACACCCCATGCCCCAGTACGTCAACTATGAAACGAACGACGGACGTCATTTCTACTAATGGGAGGAACCCAAAACAGCCATCGCCGTAAGAAAGCACGAGCGGAGACGTTACCACGGAGTTACGCCCCGCCCGGTGTCGACAGATGCGGGCTTGTTTGTAAACGGCGTTTCGGTGCGCTGTCGGGCCAGTGGTGGGCTCACCTGCATGCGCATGTGGTCCGGCTCGCAGAGGAGGTCCTCGAGGTCGGCGAGGCTCGACGCTTCCACGGCGTCGCCGTAGGCGGCTGCCGGCGCCCGCCGGGGCTTGGGCAGGGGCGGCTCCGTGCACCGCTCGGCCAGGGCACGCCGCCACAGGGACAGGGCCCGGGGGGAGTCCCGCCGCTTGTCCACGTACGTGGCACCCAGCAGCTCCAGGGCCTGCTCAACCACCACCATATATTATAAGAATAATTTTGGGAGGCAAAGAAAGCACATTTTAGCGAGTCATTAAATTGGACTGGGTGGTACAGTGCTCAACGAAACCAAATGGACTGGCAGAGCAAATGGCCTGGCGAATATAACGCTACATCAGATTCCTGGAAAACTAAATGGTGGAACCATATGATTACCCTGGAGTCGAGCAACTGTTTACGGTAACTGTGTGCAACTGGTATGGTAACTGTATATGCTCCTAAAGGTGAGCGTACGCAGCTATTCTAGAAAGGCCACATGCTCCGCTGCTCCATTTTGCTTCGTTGGCTGCTGTACATAATGATAGAAGGGTAAAACAGCGCTGGAAGGAGACACGAGGAAGACGTGTATGCGCACAAGGCACTGCTGTCGGGTAAACACGCGAAGTGCCAGGTAAACAAATTTTACCCAACGTGGCTCCAACCCCTTCGTTAATTGCTTAGCAAAAAAAGAGAAGAGTAGCGTATTTTCCTAATTGTACTGCTTTTTCTTTTTTAATTATGTGTTCTAAAATGCACTTTGCGTTACCGTATTTGCACGAATATAACGTGACCACCAATATAACGCAAGGGCAGGTATTAATGCCCTCAAAAAAGGAAATTACTATTAAAACGAGAGCCGAGGCCGCGTAAACTTCCCACACTCGGAGGCATAGCAGAAGTGAAAAGGCAATGGATATAGAAGAAATATCAGTTCATGTTTTGACTGCACTCAGCCTCACTGCTCAGGTTCTTTCGTTTCCACTTGGCCACTACGCTGATAAGCAGCAGCACGGCACCGCTTGTCTGCTAGTTCCTTTTTCTTCGGCGTGAGCTCCTCAGCAGCTCACAAGCAAAGCAAGGCAGGATGCACAAACACCAGACCACTCTGGAGCAGGAACTAAAAGATGCGCAGGCAGAAAAAAGATTGCTGGACCCGATACACAAGCGCTCTCATTGGCCGGCCGAGAGGCGGACCTCGGGGAGAAGTCCCTGCACCACTCGCGCGTGCTGCAGGTTGGCAGTTGGTCATCAGGAGTGGAGGTGTGTTGCTGCTTGCTAGACACAATCTTGTTCTGGTCCCTCCTTATAAACAAACACATTGTGTTGCACGATTGCGCAAACGCGGTCAGTGGTCATGGCTTGTGTTGACTTGACTTGGCTCGAATTGGCCAGTGCCCACATTCTGGCATGGCACGTTGCGTTTCTGTGTCGTGCGCGGGTTGTACAAACACAAGTGATAAAAATGCTTTTTATGTTTTCTATTCGCCCCTTCACGTGGCCCAACAGCTCATAAATACCCTCCCACACCCCCCCTTCTTTTCCCACCCAATCTCCGGCATTGAGCGGGAGGGACGGCTTTCTCCAGACCACTATGCTCCAGACTCGCATGACTCGTAGCTGAGCTTGATTTCGAATATAACGCGAGGTGCATTTTGGAGCGCATAATTTAGAAAAAAAAACTCTCGTTATATTCGTGCATATACGGTATATTGGGGATTGAGTTCAGCCACGAGGTGCGTGAGTCTGGAGAAAGCCATCCCTCCGGCTCAATGCAGGAGATCGGGTGGGAAAATATGGGGTGGGTGTGGGAGGGAATTTATTAACTATTAAGGCCCACGGGAAGGGGGAAATAGAAAACATAAGAAGTATTTTTATCGCTTTTGTCTTTGTACAAGGCACACCGAAAATCACGCTGCAGAAATGCAGCGCACAACACGGGCACTGGTCAATTCGAGCCAAGTCAACACGAGCCAAGTCAACACGAGCCAAGCCATCCTGTGGTGTTTACACAATCGTGCAACACTTTCTCGTTTATGTGGAGGGACCAGAACAAAAATGAGTAGGGTATAGGTCTGGCAGTCTTTTTTTCTGCCTGCGCATTGTTTAGTTTCTGCTCCAGAGTGGTCTGGTGTTTGTGCGTTGGTGCTTCTGCTTCCTGCCTTGCTTGTGGGCAGCCCAGGAGCTCATGCTGAAGAAAAAGGAACAGACAAGGGGCACTGTGCTGCTGCATATCTGCCAAGTCTCCAAGTGGATTGCAAACGAAAGAGCGAGGAGGATGAGTGCAGTCAAAACATAAACTGATATTTCTTTGATTTCCATTGCCCCCAGAGTGCGGTAAATTTACACAGCCTCGGCTCACGTTATAATAGCAATAATATTTTTTTCTTCTGTTTGAGGGCATCAAACCTGCCCTCGTGTTATATTCGTAGTCGTGTTATATTCGTGGAAATACGGTGAAACTCAACAAGGACAACCCTACTCTTACGGTGTTCAACAAAACATAAATATTAGAACACTACGGAAAGAATAAACAGATAAAAGTCAAATGAATCGATATAGCACAATACCATATAGCAAAAGAGACAGTGTTATACAAAAAAAGCGAATTCATAGATTGACCAATCTGGAGAGCTAGAAGAATACAAGCCAAAGATAACTTGTAAAAAAAAAAAAAAAAAAAAAAAAAAAAGAAACGAGGGTACATGCAGGTACAGCCAATTAGAGCTCAACAGAACAGAATTGACTAGGCAGACTCGCAACACCATTCATAGTCTGATAGAAGGTACTTTCTCATATTATTTATAAACGCAAGAAGTGAAGTAGCATCTTTCATTCTTTCAACAACAACAGGGTGACCGTTCAAAAGTTGCGGTGTTCATTATGTCCGCGGACGACGGTGTCCGTGTTACGAAAGTTTGTAGTGAGTTCCCAAGTGTTTATTTCTGTCCCGTTGCCAAAGATTGCCCACTTGATATTTTTTCACCATTTACCTCTTCGAAATCGGTGGACGTCCGTACGGGACTTTGTGGTACGTCAACTGTGGGAGGTAAATGGGACTAGAGAACTCGTTGAAAAGAAACGAGTAAGCCTGTCTCGATCACGCCTCATAAAATTGGAGATGCGCAGAATAAGTTACAAATGAGCTGGGCACTTGTAGTGTGTGCGTGACATCATGAACATATAAGCGAGACCATAGGGGCTATATTGCTTATATGACCTTGACCTATGTGTCGTTCGAACATAACAATCTAGCAAAAGGTGTCACTTCACTCGTGAAACAGTGTTCTATAACTACGGTTTTGCGTTTTCGGATAAATCCGAAAAACTCTAAAAAACATCTGTTGAAATTTTTGCGAATTCAGATTCATTTGTAAAACTCCGAATTTCGAAGTCACGGGGACAAAATGAAAAGCAAAAGGATGGTATTTTACTAGTAAAGTTTGTCGAGCTAAGCTTAGGAATCGTAAAGAAAGGCCCCACTTCATTTTTCTTTTCCTTTCTCATCTCGGGTTTGCGATAAAATAAAGTATCCCGTTTACGTCAACGTTTGTACCTTACAACAGCTCCATGTACTTCTGTTCCACGACAAAAGCCACCGTTCCGGTTTCCAATTTACACCATACTATTTGTGCTTCTTAGACAGAGGAGGAGTTGTTCTTTTAACAGTGAAAAAAGTGAAAGCCGTTTACAAATCCCTGTAACGCCGAATTGGAGCGCAGCTCTTGAGGAGGAGGAGTGAAGGGTACTGAGGGGAGGGTAGACCCCTCCTCCTCCCCTCATTCTTTAATATGCTCCGGGGGGGGGGCGGTCACGTGACCTCGGGGGGGGGGGGGGGGGGGGGGATGTCACGTGACTTCGGGGAGGGGGGGTCACGTGACCTCAGAGGGGTCACGTGGGGGTCACCTTGAGGTAACGTGACCTTGAGATGACCTTGGGAGGGGTCACGCGACCTTGGGGGTCACGTGACCTTGGGGAGGAGACCACGTGACCTCGGGGGTCACGTGACCTCAGAGGGGTCACGTGACTTGGGGGTCACGTGACCTTCAAAGGGTCCCGTGGGGTCTTGGGGTCACGTGACCTTGAGATGACCTTGGGAGGGGTCACGTGACCTTGAGATGACCTTGGGAGGGGTCACGTGGCCTTGGGGGTCACGTGACCTTGGGATGACCTTAATTACGCCGACGGCGACGCCGCTCAAGCCGGGAACGGGCCCCTAAGAGCTGCGCTCTAAAAGTGAAAGCCGTTTACAAATCCCTGTAACGCCGAATTGGAGCGCAGCTCTTGAGGAGGAGGAGTGAAGGGTACTGAGGGGAGGGTAGACCCCTCCTCCTCCCCTCATTCTTTAATATGCTCCGGGGGGGGGCGGTCACGTGACCTCGGGGGGGGGGGGTGTGTCACATGACTTCGGGGAGGGGGGTCACGTGACCTCGGGGGGTCACGTGACCTCAGAGGGGTCACGTGGGTGTCACCTTGGGGTCACGTGACCTTGAGATGACCTTGGGAGGGGTCACGTGACCTTGGGGAGGAGACCACGTGACCTCGGGGGTCACGTGACGGGGTCACGTGACCTTCAAAGGGTCACGTGACCTTGAGAGGGGTCACGTGACCCCCAAGGTCACGTGACCTTGGTTACGCCGACGGCGACGCCGCTCAAGCTGGGAACGGGCCCCTAAGAGCTGCGCTCTAAAAAGTGAAAGCCGTTTACAAATCCCTGTAACGCCGAATTGGAGTGCAGCTCTTGAGGAGGAGGAGGGAAGGGTACTGGGGGGGGGTAGACCCCTCCTCCTCCTCCTCCCCTCATTCTTTAATATGCTCCGGGGGGGGGGGGGGGGGGGGGGGTCACGTGACCTGGGGGGGTCACGTGACTTCGGGGAGGGGGGTCACGTGACCTCGGGGACGCGTGACCTTGGGTGTCACATGGGGGCCACCTCAAGGTCACGTGACCTTGGGGGTCACGTGACCGGGGGGGGTCACGTAGGGGTCACCTTGGGGTCGTGACCTTGGGAGGGGTCACGTGACCTTGGGGAGGAGACCACGTGACCTCGGGGGTCACGTGACGCTATGTGGGGTCACGTGACCTTGAAACGACCTTGGTAGGGGTCACGTGATCCCAAGATGACCCCACGTGACCCCCAAGGTCACGTGGCCTTCAGGGGGTCACGTGACCTTGAGATGACCTTGGGAGGGGTCACGTGACCTTGGGATGACCTTGGTTACGCCGACGGCGACGCCGCTCAAGCCGGGAACGGGCCCTAAGAGCTGCGCTCTAAAAAGATGTAGATTTTATGCTTCCCCAACGATTAGATTCCGGAGTTTGGCTGTTTCAAAGTGCTGATGTTTACTGAAGCAAAACTTGTTTGAAAGATTTCTCATAGGACAGTTAGTACTCCTAATTACAGAAGGGCCATTCCCAAATGCTGCCACAAAAATATAGTTTTCGTCCAGAAATTATTATTTTTTTATTTTAAGTTTTGAAAGATTTAAAATAGAGCACAATGAAACTGAATTTTGGAGAATCGGGAATCTAACAAAAGTAAACTTCGATAAACCCTGAAATTCGAACGATGAATAAAATCCGAAGAACACCCTCCAAATTTCACGAAAAATATGCTCCGAAAAAACGAAATCCTACCCATAACACATTCAGCGTTAAAATATTGTAACATAGCGAGGGCTTTCAAAATGTTCTATTTCGAGGGATGCCTATATCTTTTGGTTGGTAGGGCATTGATGCAGTAAAGCAATGTGGAGGCTCGTAGGTCCCGTAAAACAGTGATGCACGTAAGGATCTTAATTCGGCCCAGTCTGATGCAGTTAGTGCGAGCCAACTGCCACTGATGGAACAGTTGAAAGTGTTTAGGTAACTATGGTACGAGACAGTGGAGGCACCATTTGAGACTCCTCGACAAAAAAGAATCCGGCGTCTAAGGAGATTGGAACTGAAATCGATTGTGTCTGAAAACAACCGACACGCAAGGAAACTGCAGCTGAAAACAATCGGCACCCTGAAATGATCCAGGGCCTGAGGCAATTGCAACTGAAAACGATTGGCATCCCAGGTGACTGTCTGAAAATGACCGACATCCAAGGCAATTTCGGCTGAAAACAATCGCACCCTAGGCAACAGGGACTGACAATGGTCTAACTCTTGGGGCAATCGCAACTGAAATTGATAGGCACCTGAGGCGATTGCATCCGAGATCATCTACACCGAAGGCGACTGCAGCTGAAAATCATTGGGACTGAAAATAGTCTAACTCTTGGGCCAATCGCAACTGCAAATGATTGGCACCTGAGCTGACTGTGTCTGAAATGATCTACACCCAAGGTGCTTGTGGCTAAAAACAATCGACACCCTAGACAATTGGGGACTAAAAATGATTTAGTTCTCGGGGCGATCGCAACTGAAAACGATCGGCACCCCAGCCGATTGCGTCTAAAACACTTCACTCGAGGTGATTACGGCTCAAAACCATCGGCACCCTGGGCAGTGGGAACTGAGAACAATCCGGCGCCCGAGGCAGTTGCGACTGCAAACGATCCGGTGAGACGATTGGACCCTTGCCTCCACACGCTGGTCCCTGGGGCAGTCCGGCAGTGCGGCCAGGAATTCGACGACAGAGGTGTGCCCGGTGACCGCCGCGGCCAGCAGAGGGGTGAGGCCGTAGGCGTCCCGTTCTGCCTTGGCCCCGTGCTCCAGCAGCAGGCGCAGAATCTCCAGGCTGCCGGACTCTGCACAGTCGTGCAGGGCCGTGTTGCCTGCAGGGACGGAAGGGAAGTTTGGCATGATTGGCCCCTCCTTTCGGGGAGTTTCCTCGTTGCACTGCTTTCCGAACCCCAGAAAAAGCCACCACAAAAACATGCAGTTCATTTTATGTCCCTTTTGCTGACTGACTTAATTTGAATGGAGTCATCGCAGTTCGAAACAGAAACTTGCACCTTTCCTGTACTATTGTGGCAGAGGCAGCAGTGTTGCCAACTAAGAAATAAGAAACCTGCCAAAGGAATCTAGAAAAACTGCTAAATTTAAGGCGCAGGCCAAGAATCGCCGTTTTAGTACTGTGTTTCAATGTTCGGCCCCGTAATATCTCGATGGCGTCGCAGGCGTCACTCGCTGAAAACGCTTTTGTTGAGAGTACCGTAAAATACCGGGCAAGCACCCACTCAACATTAAGAGATAATCGCGAAACAATGGGGGATGGGTGCTTGTCCGGTCATCAATTTTACACGTAAATGTACCGTGCACATTTTCTCGGATCTTACAAATTTGGGAATGGGCGGTTGCGCGGTATTTTACGGTAAGCAAAAATAATCACGCCTTGACTCTAACTTACTACAGAAATTAATCTATTTACAATTGAAAAATGTAAAGTAGACAACATTTTAGACCACCTGAAAACCCTCCAACATGATTTGAAAACCGCTAAAAATCCAGCCAAAAAAAACCCGCAATTTCACCCGCTGACAACTCAGAAAGCCGCCAAATTTAGCGGGAAAAGCACTAAATGGGCAACACTGGAAGTCAGTGGTAACAGAATGTATTGCTCCGTTTCGCGGTGATATTGCACGAATAAATTTGGAATGCATGTCCCCCTCAAGAGGGGAAGTATAAATCTGAGGTACTGAAAGAATAAACGCAGGGACAACACATCTTTCTGTGTTGTAGTGTCCATCCCAGCGTTTATTCGTTCGGCGACATATAATTTCACCAACATGCTCACCTTCTAGACTTGGTGAGATATCTTCTAATTGCACTTTTTATAAATTTGGAGGAGAGCGTATTTCGGTACTTCCTGGTTTCTTAAGAATTTGCGAAGTAGATCAAGTTGAAGTCATAAGACAACAAAACAATTTTTAGCACGCCTTCAAAGGTTGATGCTATGGGGACACCTTCAAAGGTTGATGCTACAGTAAGGCAAGGAAGAAGTGAGACAGGTCGCCCACCCTTGGCGCTCTTGCGGTCCACATGGGCGCCCCTGGACACCAGGTAGGCCGCGATGTCCAGGTGGCCCTTGTAGCAGGCAATCATGAGGCAGGTGTGGCCGTGCCGGTTGGCAATCTCCAGGTCGGCGCCCTGCTCCACCAGGAAGCGCACAATGTCCAGGTGCCCGTCGAAGCAGGCCGCACGCAGCGGAGTCGAGTTGGTGCGCGTCGTGGCGTTCACCCGGGCGCCCTGCGACACCAGCCCCTGCACCACCCCAAGGTGGCCGGCGGCCGCGGCGCACCACAGCGGCGGGGCCCCCTCGATCGTCTCGCCCTCGAATGTCACCGACCCCACCTGGAAACGACGAGAAACGACCGGTTAGGCAACAGCGCGGGTAGGTTATGGCTTAGCGTTATTATTATTTGTACGCTGGAGGCTCAAATGGCACTAGCGTGCTGATGGAAACTGCAGTGATGTGATTGGCCTAAGCCATTTTGGAGCACCTTTTGGAGCAGCCAAAACAGTGTTTTGGAGCAGCAGAAGTGGCTTTTGGAGCCGCCAAAACAGTGTTTTGGAACAGAAGAAAGTGGCTTTTGGAGCATATATTCTTAGAAAAATAAATATTTGTTTTAAGTGGTGGGCATACGAAGGGCACTTTGTGTTGTCTGTTAACATGTTGGGGCGGAACTCGCTGCATGTGTTTTTGCAGCTAAGACATCCCACAACTATACAGTGCTGTAGGCGTTGCCGAGCAATTTCGAAAAAAAAAACAAGAAAACACTCGCTATCGTTTTACTGGTTCCAGACGTGGCAGATTTTTATAAAAATTAAGCAAACGTAAAACATTCGAATGCAAGCGTCCCGGCTGGTGCCTCTCGTGCAATTGTGTTCACATGCATGTGAAGGCAACTTCGGCAAGCTTGCAGTTACACATGTTTCGTCGCGCGAGCGGAGACAAGGCTGTTCGACCGAAATCGAAACCATGCCAATCCGCTCCGTCGCAAACTGGTTCCCAAAATATTATGCAAAATGTAACTGTCCAGCATACGACATTGAACAGTCCAATGGCGCGTGATTGCGAGGCTGGCAGGCGAGGTACAGGCTAAACACACAGAAAAAAATAACCTTAGCGTATCGATGCAAGACATTGCGAATCAGTGTCAAAAGGTTTTGGAGCGCTTTGTGCAACAACTGAACTCGAGACAAAAAAATTGACCGCATCTCCACGTGTTGAATGATGTTGATTGGGGCGAAGCTCTGGTGGTGCTTGTCTGGAAGACACTGAGCCGCAGCATGGCGAGGCTTTCGTTCGTTTTCATCCATGTCAGAAAGAGAATGTGGGGTATGGACATGGTTATGTACGCATTCGAGCGTTTGACCGCAGCGCGATCTCGTCTATGAACATTGAGCCAATCCATGCAAAGTTTAACGCGATTATATACGCATTTGACCGCAGAACCCTCTCCTGTATAGACGTTGAGCAGCTACATGCAACGTTTCATGCATGACATCCCCAGCTCTTGAGTTACTATTACATCTCAGAGCCCCCTACTCGTCCCGCAGCCATGATCAAGTGGTTAAGGCGATGGACTAGATATCCATTGGGGTCTCCCCACACAGGTTCGAATCGTGTCGACTGCACAAACATTTTTTTATTTATTTTTTCATCATTTTGTTTTGCCCTACTCGAGTATGTGAGCACGTGAGCTCGCGAGCACGAGCACGAGCATGAGCACGAGCAGCAGCAAGATCGATGTGAGCACGGACGCCGGACAGACAAGGCTAGACCCTAAGGAGCTTCGCCCCTAAAAGCGCGGTGTGCGGGTTCAGCGTGCAGACAGTGCCTTTTTTGCTTTAGCTCACTTTTCGTCATCAACTTCCTTTCGCTGCAGATTTTTCACGTACCGAGGTCCCTCTCGAAAGAAAGCCCACCAAGGGAAACCATGGTAATCAAAACTTCGCCAAACATTCATTGAGTTAGAGGGAGTTTTATTGCAGCGTATTATTTAAACAAGAGCAGAAATGTCGATGTGTTTCAGTTTACAAAGCGCCATATCTGCAGCGACATGGGGACGGCAACATACGACGTCGCGCAAGCGCTTCATCTCACAAAGTAACTCTCGCCGCGCAAAAACATGGTTTTGTTTCACAGCATGACGGCATGTCAGGCACCCGGCACACTAACGTCGGAGTGTCCGCACACGCCCGCGTCTATCGCTAAAAAAATTTAAAAAAAGAAAAAAAAAGACGCGAAACGAGATTCCCGAGACGACGGCAGCGCGAAACGGCGGGAAAAATCATGCAAGACCGAATAGACGATTTATGCAGGGCACTTTGTGTCAGGCGGCGTCTTGTGCCACCTAGCTCACGCATGCTCAATTACGGTTCTCAGTTTCGTTTCTGAAAGGCGACCAAAATTGGTCCTTTGAAGCAGGCTTGGCACAGATTAGCCATATTTTGGCAAAATGTAGCAGGGTTAGCCCCTTGGCGCAGTTTGGCGCAGCAATCACATCACTGAAATTGAAGCAAACAGCAACCAGTCGAAAATTGACTATGGGAGAAAGCGAGCGAATTTTCTCCTTGCACTCGATTCTAAGAGCAAACATCCAGAATAATTTGTACGTACTAGGCAGCTTGGAATGTTTCACAGTCAGGCAGACGAAATAATTGGTCAGTTACAGTGTTTTTCTTTCAAACTTATTGCATTGAAAACGGTGCTAAAATGGCTTCGTACATGTATTTATGTACACTGTCAGACACTGTTAGGCCGAACATGACGTTGGCACTTTTCAGCACGTAGGATATATGTGCCAAACAAACAAAGGCGACATCTGGAGAGCCAAGAGAGACTGCAAGAACTATGCAGTCACACTGGATAAGTAACTCCCTGTGCATGCACAATCAAAATAAATTGAAGGCCACATAATATAGTTTGATTTTCAATAAGTACCGCTGTATTCTTTCTGCTCTGTGTAAAGATGCTTATTCTACTACCAAAATGTCACATGCACGCTCAAAATCTTTGACAACAAGTGCCTGGTCAAAGCAGGCTGGTATAGATAAGAATAAAAAGAGACACCTTCCATAGCCCACATACTTTCTTCTTTAAGTTTTGAGTGTTTTTAACCGCTCAAAAAGATGCAAGACGGGGTCACTTTATATCTAATATTTACGCACCACCAGAATGCTGGCAAACCTCGAACACACCCTACATTCCTTTCGATTGTTATTTTGCTTAGAATCGTCGCTTGTTTTGACACACGTGCTGTGGAACATAGGTTTGAGCCTGAAATATAGCGAAGTTTAACATTGTTCACTGATGAAGAAAAATGCTGTAGCTAAAGCAATTAGGGCCCGTTCACACTCTTGCGACCGAGTATGACTGAGAGAGACGAGATCTCTTAAAACTTCTTAAATGTTTTTAGAATCAGGGAACACACTGGCATTGTGGCGCCATCTATGCGTTGACCCTGGAACTGCATTTCACAAGAGCGAAGGTTTTGAGGGATTTCTGAGGTCAAATGTGCGTAATACCTATAGAAAGGCTCGTTTATAACATTGACAAAAGTTTTTCGAGCCAACAAAAAAAGGATAATGCGCGAGAAATAAAAAAAAAAAATGCCGGACCGCCGAGTTTACACTGCTTCCCAATAGATGGCGCCAGTGTGTTCTCTGGTTTAAGAAGTTTTAAGGAACCCAGGTTTAAGAGGTTGCAAGAATGTGAACGGGCCTTTACACTTTTACATTGTTAATAAAGGTGCACACTATTCGGCACAAGCCAAATAACAAAAGCGTTCCATGTCATTTTACGGCAAACGGACAAAATACAAGGACGTTTTCCCAAAGCGAAAGCAGACTGGTTGCCGTCTGCTTTAATTTGCGTCCCGGAAGTTCCATAGACACTAGCACTAGCTGAACCACTAGTGCACGTTAAATAACCCTATGGGCTACACAACAGTTAGGCTGGGGACGGTAGAGATGGGAATCGTACACACCACGTCGCAAGCACAGACGTCGGTACAGTGCCTCAAACGAGTCTTCGACTGGCCTGTTCGGCGCCCTATTCCACCCACGCATCGAAAGCAGCAACGAAGTGGCAACAAGTGATGTCATGGGAGCCAGAGTGTCGTGCCGTCAGCTGTCGCAATCCTAACGGTTGGTCGCAGAATTGCCGGTGAAAAGGGGAAGTGGACGCGGCTGTCGTCGTCGTCGCGACTTCCCAACTCCCGGCTACTGAAGGTACCATGAACCGTAACGTTGGACAGCGACCTGCAGCGCAAGAGGCGTCTGCCGCATAGGCCTCCGCCACCGTGCGACCGACGAGGCAACATGGCCCGCGAGAGCGACTCGGCTCTACTTGAGCAAAATCTGAGATATGGCATAGACAGGGGTGGAAGCGGGCTAGAGCCTTTTGTAGCAGGGCTGGGAGCAGCAAAAGTCCCACTTTGGAGCAGTAAAAGGCTCGCTTTAGAGCAGCTCGGGAGCAGCAAAAGTAAGTTTTGTAGCCGTAAAAATAGGTTCTGGAGCAGGTCACGGAGGTCGAACAGGTGTCTAAAAGTGATTTGTTGTTTCTAAATGTGAAAATGTAGCAAAAATATATGCATGCACATCCCAGAATAATTTTCAAGCATGACACATACATACACACCTTTCTATTTCTATTGCATTGAAATATGAAATATTGGCAATTTATGCAAAGGAAAGGCTTCGAAAACCATTCCGGCAGCAGGCAGAATCATGACAGACTTTATATGGGAGGCCCCGACAATAAAAGCACAACTTGAGCCACATCAGTACAAAACCGTCTATTTAATAGACCAATTGTAAACATGTATCCAGAAAACTAAACCACTGCAAAATGTCAGATAAACTACTTTCGCTTACTACAGTTTTTGTTTAATAAAGAATACACATGTTCAATCACTGCTTAAAAAGCCCTATATCAAGTTTAGTAACAAAATACAAGACTACTGACATTTGACGAAAATTCAGATGCAAAACAAAATGTGTATTTTATATCTTTAGAATACCACAGTCACTCGTACACATGCAACTTTAAGCATCGACTAGAAGTGCAATGCAACCTTATATACTCCATAAAATTTTGTGCATTGCGTGTCTCCATAAAAAAATTAAGGTACCGCAACATGTTTCAAAATAAAGCAGTCCTTGCTGACCTGTTTTCATTAAATACAAATGTTCTTAATCCCTGTTCATAAAATACGGTAATCCCTACACTCAAGTTAACATACAAAGCTATATCTTTATCACTTTAGATGGAAAAATATCACAGCCACTAACACATATGCAGCATAAACACTGACTAGAAGAGCCCACAGGCTTCCATGTTCAAAAAGAAAAAAAAAGGTTGTGACTAAGCTGAATCTGTGTACATTGGAAACAACTGAAGTTTACCGTTCACTTTTTTTTTCACAGTTTGAAGGGCAGAGTCCATTTCTTTTATGCGCTCGAGTACTTTGGGCAGTTTAGAGTTCACATCACTTAGCAGGAGGTGTCCACTCCACACCTTGTCCATGTCCTTAACTGCCACACCCTTGCTTATGAGTTCTTGTGCACTCAGTAGAAGTGCTTTAAGAGAAGATAGTTTGAACGAGACTGAAAATGAGATGTAGCTGATCAGGCGCTGATCCCTGCGGGGCAGGCTGCCATCTTACGTGACAAAAAGCCCCACTATCTTCTCTCTACCCAACCCCAACCCCAACCCAACCCCCCCCCCCCCCCCCCCCCCCCCCCCAACCAGATACACCTATACCCGAAACTTGTATGAGTAGAGTGGCTATAGCAAGTTAAGGAGCGTTCACGGCAGGAATAGGCAGCGCGGGAGTGTTGTACGGCATTTCTGATGTAACTCCCACTCCTCCACGCTAAAGGAAAGAAAAAAAAAGTGTGTAGCACAGCCAATTAACCAACTCCCTTAAGATTGCGGGTATTGTTTTCGCCAGTGGTCTGACGGTGGGAAACAACACACGAGAGCTTGCACATTCGCGAACACGCGCACACAATGATGGTTTTGGTTTCGTTTTGACAAGACAAATTGAGCTCGAGAACGCATGTGCCTGTGCTCGCGATTCTTCAAGGCTAAGCGTCAAAATATGCTACGCTACCAAATGACAGGTAAAGCTAGTAAAGACCACTTACTTCTGCTCATGTTGATGGCCGAAGTAGCCCACCGGTGCCGAGGCACCAACTTCCACGATCACGGCAAATCGGGACCACGGGCAACTGCATGCGCGCTCCAACCGCGCCAACCAACTATGCCCGAAACCAAACCGATGTGTTCGTATATCAAGCTCTTTGTAGTCAAAATCGACATCTCATTCTCGATGAACTAAAATTGACTCCTCGCACTGCGGTTACACGTGGTTCGGAGCCCCAGTCGAGTTGGTACGAGTCTCCCGCACTGACGCCCAAACAAAAGTGCACACCACATGGTGGCCAGTGGCCGACCGTTTTCCGCTAAATTTAGAGAAAACACACACAAAAAAAAAGAAGCTGAAATTGGCGTTTTGGAGCAGGCTGGAGCAGGGAAGTGAATTGGCGCAGGGTGGCGCAATTGGCGCAGCGCTTCCACCCCTGCATAGATCACTTCAGTTCTAGAACTCACCACAGACAGACACTGTGCAAAGGGACGCGTTCGAAACCACACCAGGATTTTTGTTTGCCCGGTGCATTAGGCACGCATCGTCCGCCTTTGAGCCAATGAGGGCGACGAAGGCGAGGCACGTGACGGCCTTCACCGAAGCTACGGGGCGAGAGGGTAACGCAAGCGGTTGGAGAAGAGGGGAAGGAAGAACGCCCCTGTCACCCGAACCCCCTTTTGTGTGCCCCAGATGTTGCTTTTGTACCCCTCGGAGACTAGCCGTCACTCAAAAATTCTTGACAAAAAGTCTTTCCTCTTTATTGCACCCGTGGTTTAGACACCACCGCAAGCAACTAGTGATACAAGTCACGTGTCTCCCTCCGACGCACAGATCGGCTCACTGGGACCATGGCCTCCGTCGGCCCTACGCTTTCAAAAACGGTGAAATGCATCAAGATTTCTCTGTTGGCAACTCGGTGAATCTGCCGTAAATGCGTTGCCCGCGTGCAGAGGCTTCTTCCTCCAGCTTCACAACAGGCGAGGATTCCAAACCTGTTTAGATACGCACAGCCATGTGGGGCAACATGTTACAAACGGAGCGGGCAATTTTTTTAAAAAACATTACGGTCCTAAGAATAGCTTCGGACGATTTCTAAATAGTCTGTCGCCCGAAAGAAACAAAGAAGGGTAACCGGTGACGTTGGCAATAATAATATGCATGCCCTTTCGCAGGCGATGCTTGGCGCAACCTCCCTCCGGGGCGGAGTTCCATAACCGAGCTGACCTAATAACGTCAATAGAGCGGGAGTGGAGCAAGTCGAATCCTAAGTACCGACATCGGTGGCCCCGACAGAACGAAGAAAAGGGGCGGCAAAAAACCAAACAAAGAAAGCGGATGAAAGGTTGGGCACATTTTTCTTGCCGCGATGCTTCCAAGTCGTGCAATCGCTCGTCGAGTTTACTTTTTCTTCGCAACGACGCACGCTGCCAGCAATGTCTCGCAAAATAAGGCCGGAAACGGTACTATGTTTCTACAATGCTTCGCTGCAGACCGCGTCGAAATGCGACGACCTTTTTCTTTTCGTAATGGCCCTAACTCTGACGACTAAACTGAGACGAACCTCGCTCGGCCCTTGGTGGTAACAGAACGACCCCAGCTTGGTTTTCTGTACCTTTTCAAATGCACTCTTTTCCGGCTCCTGTTCAGTGATCGCCTCTTAGGCTTGCTCCCTTCTGTTGCGAAGAATTTATGAGATTTCCATTAAGCGTACGACTTCTATTGTAGACCCTTTTCGAAAGTGTGCCCTCTGTTGGAAGCTGTGGAATCCCTGCAAAATAGTGGACACAAGCACGAGCTCCTTACGATTGCGCCTCAGTTGCACGAGCCCTCGTGCAGTGGGAACTCGAAGCTACCGCTCGAGCTACTCGCACATTCCGCGGTGTCAGGCGGCGAAAGGAATGTTATGGCATTTATTATTTCACGAGGCTCCCCCGGCAGCGTTCTCAACCACAGTGGGCAGCAGTGGTTTTGTCGTCCACCAGTTTGGCTGACTGTCCACCCCTACTATGTCCAACCCACTTTTAAGTTTTACCCCCGCCAAACAAAACACTGCCGATTTTGAAAAAGCACAACACTCCAGATCGTCGTGTTTGGCCGACTTGTGTGGCACTATGCAACGGAACTGCATAATGCCTGCAAACAAAATCACTGCTGTGCAGTAGAGAAAGTGCACAGAACAACAAAAGTTGCAGCAATTGCCCCCTCCTCCTCCTCAGCACCCCAGAAATTGTCAGATATCCAGATCTCAAGAGCTTCGACAATTATTTTTTAGTTGAAGTAGAGCCTGTACTTAAAAAAGGCTGATGAAGCAATCATGCAGCAAGGCTGGAGCATACCTGCGATACCAGTTTAGACATTGGATAATTTATATGGTGAACATACTGGAGTCCATAAAAGGCCTACTACAACTTCTCAACTCTAAGCATTGTATCGTTAACCGTCATTACTGAAGCACAGAAAAATGTTCTACTAAAGCTATTTTTCTACAAAGCATCAACCATCTTTGCACTACGTCGTCAAGGCTAGTGTAGCTTTCGCCACGCTCCAGCTGTCAAAGCTAGTTGCATGAACGCATGCAAATGAAACAGAAGAGGAGGCCACAACACTGTGGAAGCTACGGTAGCATTGAAAATACAGCATAAAATACTGGACGCGTTTTCTTGTGCTTTTTTCCAAAACTTGTACGCCCGCCCGTCTTGGGATTGCGACGTCCTACAGCGTGTCACCCTGGATTGCTTTTGTGACGTCATTTGTTGCCGCTTCGGGGCCACTCTCGATGCACGAGCGGAATAGGGTGTGAAAAACACCAGTTGGGTGTCGTAACTAGAGCGCAAAAATAACAATCTATGTAAACTCAGATTTTGGGGTGTTTTTTCTCTGGCCACCGGTGAGCAAACCCGACAGCACCTGTTCGATGTCGGCGTGGCACTTCTCCAGGAGGTAGTCCGCCACCTCCAGGTGACCGTTGCGCGACGCCATGACCAGCGGGGTGGCGCCGTTGGTTGTCGCAGACACGAGCATCTCCACCTCCTCCTTGGGCCGATGGTCCAAAAAAACCTGGGCAGGAGCGCATTGCGTCGGGCACACAACAAATAATAATCATCCTTACCAAATAAGAAAAATGTCTATAAATAGCAATTATTTAATTCGTACGGTCAGCACGGCGAAACGGCCCTGAAGAGCCCGCACACGTGTTGTAATCGCAATATATGCGTAAGCGAGAGCAAATTCCAATACTCTCACTAAGGAGTCCGATGCTTCTTTGTAAGTTTCCTCGAGCCAGAGATAATCTATCTATTCTGGTGCAAACTTTCATTTTTCTCACCTTGTATTTAGCTTCACTGCCATGATTTCATTTCATTGTCACATCTTGTTTTAGTTTTCTGGATCTCCTTTTGTGACTCTTAGTGTACACGGCAGCAGGCAAGCAGGCGTAAGGGCTTTAACCTCTCTGCTTCGCCTCGACACTGCCGTGTATGTGCCTGAACTGTGCAAATAAGAATAAAATGAAATCAGAATATAGCCCCTTGCGGCAAATCTTCAGAGTCAAGCATCATACTTCTGCATCTCAGTAATTTTGGCCTTAAAATACATATACAGCAGTAATAGTAGTATGACTTCTTATATTCCGGAATACTTTTTGGGGCATCTCTGCGTAGCCTCAGAACACACTACGAAAACGGCTTTCTAAGTGGGACCGGCCCCTTGGCAACGGCTGCCACCGATATCTACAAAAACACACACACTACGAAAGATAATATTGTGCGTCCGTCCATGGGCCCACCCGCTGCTAGAAAAAATAAAATAGAACGTAACAAAAAGAGTTGACAGCACCACAAAGAACCCATCGCAGTGAAAACAACGACACACGATGTTAAGGCGTCGCGAACAATTCGTACGTCCCCAGCCAGAGACGATTGTACCAATAGCGTGAGTCAACGATGTGACAATTGCAACTTGTGTGTTTGTGCTCGGGCACAAAAACGCAACTAGGCTGGAAACACGCCCAGCACAACCGACAAAGAAAGAAAGAAATAGGAGCGGAAACCTCAGAGTCACGCTTGGCTTGTGGTATGAGGGAAAACTACGAGCACGGCGAGGTTGTTTACAAAATGCAAACACACACGAGCTACGGAAATGAGACATAGCCAAGCCCTAGAGGAGGATAAGACAGTCGCGACGCGACGCTTCTATCGTTTCGATTGGGCGGTACGCCACGAAAACAACCGCATCGGCAGCGTTCCGAGCTCCTGATATTAGAGGTTCAATCCGACGTACAGAACACATCACAGGCAGTTTCGCTTGCTTTCCAAGAGAGCGTTTGTCCAGGTTTGTCCCTGGCCCGATAGAAGAACACCTAAGCCTAACAAACGAAACTAGGGGACTGCAAACGCTCGGCGATGACACTCGATTTCGGTGGCTTACCTTGAGGCGCTTAAGTTTGCCATCCTTCGCGGCGTTGAACACGGCATTCTTGAATTCCATTCTGGTTGTTTCGTGGGTTAATGTAGAGCGTTTCTACCTGAATTTGGGCGCAATATCAGACGCCCAAGGCTGAGGACCAACAACGAAATCATCGAAACTTGTGTATTCTTGAACAAAATATCATACAGCGTGGCCAACATGATACTCTAGGATACATATTTTCGCGGCTACTTCTAGCGGTCGTAAAACTAGAAACCATGAATGGGCATCAGCTTATCAAATTCGTAAAATTTTATTTATATGAGAAGAAATACATAAATTTGTATTTATATTTTTGCAAAATATTTGCTATGATAGTCGAGTCAACTAAATCGCCAAGTCCAGAAGGTGGGGTTAGTGGGGCGGCGAGCGGTTGGGGTTTAGCCAGTTTAGCGGTTTAGCTTTGTGCGCGAACGCTTTCGGACATGTGTTGCTAAACTTCTGTTTCCTTGTTGCGGTGAATCAGTGATGCTTCTTTTTTAGGGAGCGTCGTGTCATGTGTTGAGAGGTGTAAATAACGAAAAAAATGTCAACTCGAGAAGTCATCACCGTACAGTTGGGAAACTACGCCAACTTCGTGGGCGCTCACGTTTGGAATCTGCAGGTGCGATTTTCCATCCCATTCGTAACCAGCTCTTCAGACCAGACTACTAAAGCTCAAGCACTAGGAAGATTGGGGAGGAAGAGATAAACCTCCTCTCTAACGTTGCTAGTGCTCTCCCCTCACCCTCCATTTGCCCTCCTCCCCCGTCCCGCCTTCCTAGGGCTTGCCTTCGTCTGCACTGCACACAACTTCGCGAACATAGCCAATCATGCTTGGCGTTCATGGAAGGGGGAGAGGGGTCTTTTTTATTTGATGCTTTACATATACAATTTTAAAACATCAATGCGGAAAGCAAGTCATCTGCTTCTTTGCAGGGGGTGTGATGATGTAGAAGCGCCGAGCTCTCATTGGTTGATTGAAAAAAATTAGTGGGTACACGTCAAGGCATCTAGCATTGAAGTCTACCCACTATTCCTTCAGTCAAAGCCAATCAGAGCTCGGCATTGTTCTGACGTTGCCGCAGCTCCTGCGCAAGAAGCGGACGACTTGCTCTTCGCATAAGACCGAAAACTGGGACTTATTGCCAGCATGAGTTCTAATGTGTGCTTTTAACAGCAATGTGTCACAGCTTTCAGTCACCCCCCCCCCCCCCCCCCCCCCAAAAAAAAAAAAAAAAACAATTGTTTTTGCTTTTTTTTTTTTTTTGTGTGTGCCTGGTGTTTGTATAACGAAGAATGAATCACAAAAATAATATTGTGGCCAAGTCAACTAGAGAAGAGTGACAGGATTTAAATTCCATCTAAATATTTATTTCATGGTACAGAACTCATACAGATGCAGAATCCATTGAACTCATTGTTACATGGGCCAGCCAGCTGTAAAAAGTAATGGCAACTGAATATTAGAATCATGTAAAATACATTTTCAGCTGAGTACACAACGAGCAAGTCAACCAGAAGCCACTTCTGCACACATCTGAGGGGAGGCGTGCAAAATGTTTGAGAAATTTATCCTGTGTGCGACCATGTTACGCCCTAGCAGATGGCATTTTCTTTAGTTGGTAAACAACCCATCCAACGTTGTGACTCAACAGTTTGTACATGGGCTTTGAAGGTAAATTCTTTTGCATCAAACAAAAGAATGTGCCCTGTGAGATACTCCCTTTATTATGAAACTAACGCACAACATCTCGTCCATCCCCTTATGAGCTTCAACAGGCTGAAATGCATCAACACGGATGAACAAACAAGGATTACTTGCGAGTGTGATTGCTCTGTTCAATGATCGATCTAAATCGATTTTGATGCTCTTGATCGGAGCAGCACAAACTATTCATAAACCCGCACATGAAAAGCACATGGACGCTTGCAACAGCTTGCACCCTCTAACATTTAGTGGTAGCTTGCGCCGGCAGGCTACGATTTAGTGGTAGCTTGCACCCGGTGCTCCGGCACGACTGGAAGAATTATGAATGAAAGCGGCGAAACCCAAACAGAAAACCCAGATAATAATCATTTGATTTTCTCCAGCGGAGTAGGGGAGAGAGAAAACAGCCGCTGTAGTGACTTGACAATGTCTCTGCCCCCTTACAGTTAGCCTGATAGAATGCAGTGTGAAAAAGCAACAATGCAAAACTAGTTCAATATAAAGATAAGTGACTACAAAAATATAAACATGTGACAGAATAAGCATACTAACAAAAAGCAAGTGCAGATTATACAACAGTAAAAAAACAATTGGGTAATTAAAAAAACAGAAAAGAACAAAATTAAAAAAAAAAAAATTCTTAAAGGGAAGGTGAACTGAAATTTGGATTTCAGAAAAAACAATGCAGGAGATGTAGGCGGGACACTACAATCCCTACAACACTACTCGTAAGGCAATATCTCGAATGGACGGCCATATTTTTGGAAAAAGAGGTCGAGATTGAACCAGGCCGATGAGGCGCGTGACGTGAAGATATCTCGTTTCCTCCTCTTTGCTTCGCTCCCTCAAGGCGGCGAGGCGGAGAAGACGCAAGGCCGTTCCCTCTCCTTCTCGGAGAAACAAGACGTGACCATCTCTGCCAAATGCGCCTCTTTTTCTTGAAAAATAGGGTCATCCGTTTGAGATATCGCTGTATGAGTGATGTTTTGGTATTTGTAGCATCCTACGGTTACTGTCTCCGGGTGACAATATTACCCCCCGAAGTCAAGGAGCTGTTTGGGGGCTTTACCCCCTCTGTAGGTCACGGGAGGAGAGTATGCAAGATCCTACATTCCGAGTGGCATAGGCAAACAAGACATTACCGTGATTGCCTTCACTTTAAACTGCGTGACAATGCAAGTCCTTCAGCGGGAAAAAAGAGATGGCGAGAGATTTCTTACACTACTGAAAGAACGACGGAGTTTCTGTGGCGTCTCACCCTAAACCATCTTCGCGCGATCACACCAAAGAAAACCACGAGTCCCTGCAATCTTGTACACATCATTGGAGACGTACAGTTACCGCAACATGTGCAGCACGTTCTCAGTATGGAGCCCAAGTTCGCCTTAGAACCCAAAAAATCGGCACCTGAGCTACTGTCTCTAGTAAGGCAAGTGTCAAGAAGGGCTTCCTTATCTGAGTGTGATAGATGCACTTCAGAGGGCGTATACATTTTATCACTACATAAACCTTCTGTAAGACATCTGCCAATCAAAAAGGTTGAAAATTACTTGAAGGAGAATTCCCTAACCTTAATACCAGCAGACAAAGAAGGTGGTTTTGTTGTCATGCCCAAAAAGGAGTTCGGGGCAAAAGCCCTTTTAGCAATCGAATCTGTGTTCCAACGTCACGACGGCATCTCATTAGCAAAAGTAAAATGTGAAGCTAAAATGCTCCTTCAGGACCTAAATATAACAGCCTTGCCCTTCTTATGAAAAAAGCAAACACCTTAGCTTAGAAATATTTTTCAGCGCCAAGACGCACAAGGTTGAGTGTCCCTTGCGAGTTATTGTGTCAGAAAGAGACACCTGGCTAAAAGCTTTGGCTATATTTTTACAAAAAAGACTTAATTTATTAACAGTTGATGACCCCTTTTTGGTAAAAAAAACTCATATGAGGTCATCAGCTTTCTACAAGAACACAGTGCCAACCAATACCAGGCCTTCTCAATTGACATCAAAGACCTATACTACGCTTTACCTCAGGTACGCCTTTTAAGTGCATTGAAGACAGCATTGACTCGTATGGTGCCATAGCTTTCCAGAATACCTCAGGACTTTCCCAAAACAACTTTCTTGATTTGCTCAGGTTTTACCTCAGGTCTACCTTCGTGTCTTGGAACGGTAACACATACCTTCAAAAAAAGGGAGTCTGCATTGGATCCTGCATAGCGCCAATTCTCAGTGATTTATTCCTAGCACACCACGACAGACTGCTTCGAAAGAGCTTAGATTCCTCGACTGTTGTGAAGGTGTTCCACTACGTTGATGACTATTTGATACTCCTGGACACCAACGAAAAAGACCTCCCCGATTCATGTGCCCAATGTGCTCGTCAAGTTTAAAACATGCTTAAACCCTTTGGAGATTACGCACGAGCTTCCAGAGCTAGGATCCTCAAGATTTCTGGGCCTAAGATTGTCTCTTCAGCCCCGTCATGTCTGTTGGTCGTATGAGCCAAGGGGGAAAAAACCACTCCTCAATTATAATTCGGCGCATTCCAAATTGGTAAAGAGAGGCATAGTTAATCAGTGCTTCAAAAACTCCATTTTCAAGTCCTGCCCGCATTCAGGCCTAACAAGCTGCACAGGACAAGTATCTAGGATACTAAGTGCGGGATATCCTTCACATATATTAACTTCAGTCGCCGAAAGTCTCCTTAAACAGATTAAAAAAGGTCAAATCACATCCCGCAAGCCACGCGAAAGATTCAGTAACCAGAGACCGGTAGTCATCCCCTACATTCATAACATTTCTCATAACCTGAAGAAGATTGGGAATCGCGCAAACATCGATGTAGTCTTTTCCGCCCCATTTAAAATATCAGGCCTATGTAAAAAAGTTAACGCTATACCAAAAACTAATACCGTCTGCACAAGACAGCATAGAACCCCATACATACCTTGCTTAGAAGGAGTGATTTATTCCTTTCCCCTATCATGCGGCAAACAGTACATAGGACAAACTGGAAGATGTATTAATGACAGATTAAGGGAACACAACAACAACACCCGATTAGCAAACTCAGGACTTTTGGGCATTCACTGCCGTGACTGTGGGTGCGCCGCGGACTTCAAAAATAGCACCATAATCGGAAAGAACTATCATCAGTTAACACGTGAGATAATAGAGGCAGCTAACATCATAAAAAGGAGTGACACCTGTGTTAGTAGTCCATCCATAACGCTTACGGAAAAAGAATTGTTATATCTTGATTCTCGAAGGTAATTGTGCGATAGAAATTGCTAATGGTTTTGTACAGAAGAGAACGAAGTGAGATGACATTTAATACTGATAAAAGAAAAACGAAAGAAGACGAAAATACAATTTGAGTTGAAAGTCAGCACGACGTGAGTGACCGTTTTTCTGGTATGAGGGTGAGTGAGACTACTTTAGCGCTTCTCCTACCACATGAATATCCAACTCGCCCAAGCATCCATTCTAAGAAATTTAGCAGGTGGATGGATACATTTGGTGAATAAGAGGGGCAGGTATACAAAATAGCAGACAAGTCGGAGAAACAAAAGAACAAGTATTTTACAGAGGGACAAAACTAATTTAGGAGGGATTCAAATAAAGACAATGATGGCTGCATAACAAGACTTTCAGAAAGGTTATTCCAATCAGTCGCTGTTCGCGAGAAAAACGAGTAGGTACTTGAAGCAATTATTATGTGATCGAATAGGAGTTATTGTTAGGACATGCCTTCGTCTAGTAGCGTAGCCTGATGAGAAGTTTATTAGGTGAGACAGATCTCTCCTATAATGCTCATTTATTAATTAATACAAAAATTTTAGTTGAGAATTCCGATTTCTGTGGGGTAATGACTAAGTTAGTCCTGGTTAAAAGTTTTGGTTATAGAGGTATGTCCGAAGC